AGCAATAGTGTCCTTAAAACATTAGGGTTTGAGATCAAAGCAAAAAATTAATGAAATGCACCTCCGGTAGTAGATGTGCCGCGGTGTCGAGGTCTACGGTTTATTTTCGTCGCAGGTCTCCGTGAAGAATAGCAGGTTCAAATGGCAGGGAGAGTGTAGAGTGTAGTGAATGCCAGCTATGTAGGGCCAAGAGTGTACTGAATGCCAGCATCGGCTCTGTGTCTTGTGTCTAGCATTATTGAGGGCGAGTATTTGCATGCGATGCACCCACCACATTAAGGTGCAACAATTTCGGCGGGAAGTTGTTTCCATATCGCTTTGTAAAGATTAATAATAATGTGTGTTTGAGGTTTGATTATGTAGACTTCAACTCTATTGTCAACAATGTTTGACAATTGTAGTGTGAGGTCTCATGGGCTGTTTTGATGTGTTTATGATCTCACCTTTTAATTGTAGGCTGCCCAATATCTTGACATAAGGAGCTTGTTCGATCTCATTACTCTAACGGTAGCTAAGATGATCAAAGGCAAGTCACCCAATGAGATCAGTAGAACATTAAACATCTAGAGAGACATCCCATGGGTGGAAGAAGATCATACAAGGATTGAGAATTTATGGGCATTTCCAGGATAATGATTTGAAGCCCCTTATATCTCTTAATGGTAGAATGATGCTATGTCAGTTCTAGTAGATGTCTTAAAATTAATCTTTATTTGGTTTGGAAATAAATGACTTGCATGCTATTTCCGAACATGTTGCTTTCCAAACACCCTTCGGAAGAAGCTGAATCTTTGTTATCAACCTATCTTTTTCCATAATATGAATACTTCCTAATTTTCAATATTATTGAATACTTCCTATTTTTCAATTTTATTATTTTTAAGAGCAGTCCAATGGGTTTGACACTGGATACCATATAGTACACCTGGTAATACTCATGCTAATGGCTGCCTTGCTTTCTCTCTACATTCTATTGTTCTTCTCCCTCTCCGCTGCATGTTGCCAGTGCCAACTTCAATTACATCTGCCATTACATCTACCACGAGCAAGTCATTCACGAGGTCGGATTAGATCCGGAAACACCTGCTCTTCTCCCTCTCCGCTGCATCGCGCGTCAATTTCATCCGGCCACCTGAAGCGCTTGTTCGTCACCGTTGAAAAGCCATTTGCAATTGATTTTGCAAACAGTTTTTTGACACTACTACTTTCGGATCTGTATATTTGTTCAGTTTTGATTTTTTATAATTAACTATTTTTAAAATTTTGCTTTTCATTGAATAAAATATATATTGTATATTAATTAGATAAAATAATTTTTGAAAATATTTTATAAAAAGAATCTAATAAAACTAGTTTTGTTTCAATATTTAATCTCTTTTATTTAATTTGTGATCAAAGTTTACTAATTTTGACCAAAAATGTCAGAAGTAGACAAATTATCAAAGACCAATGGAGTATGTTTTAAACACTAGATCTATTCCCGTGCAACAAACAGTCCATTAATTAAATTCCGTTGTCGGTGCAAAAAGACCTTGGCAACTCCCGAAACGAGACATTAAAAAACCTTAAATGATATTCCATCAATGGGAAGGTATATAAAAAGATAAAATATTCAAACCCACCAAATATGACTCCTTGGGGATAACATTGTGCGCCTCCAGGTTAAGAACAAATGAACCTTCAATATCATCATCATCCTCTCCTGCAAAACAAGAAAAAAATGAATCATTCAACAAAATATCTTTCATTTATGACTAAACTCGTGACTTGTTCATATACATATATTCTTACCTGAATCATAATCTGGAAACTTAATGGGGTAGGTCACCCAATTGTCTGTGCCAAAAACTGTAACCAATAAACAAAACTCCCCAATTTTTTTAAAATGTAAAACAAATTTTGGTTGCAGTTGGTGTGCAACGGCAAAATCCTTCCATCCGCCTTTGAATCGGTGTTTCCTATCATCACCCATGTAATGTTCCACCGGAAAGAATCCAATTCGAGTCAAGAGAAGGACTATCTTCTCGGTGGGACTCAATACATCAGATGGAATCACCAGTTCGATGATTTATTTTTTAAACAAAACTTCTATTAAGAAAAAGAGGATAGAAATTATGTGATAGGTAGTTCCTACATCTTACCAGGGTTTCAATGCAATCGGTTGACTCACGCGGCAAGCGGCAAGACCACTCTTGCGGGGAATTCCTTACACGACCCGAGGAAGAATCCATCTCTATCTGTGTCTTACACGAGTGCACAGAAAATATGGATTTGGAGTGATAGAGGTAGCGGTATATGAGTGATTTTATCCGGCGGTGCGGTGGGAGTCAAAGGTCGTGACCAGTCATCGAGAAGTCAAACCAATTGAATATTGAAAAATAATAAATCTTTCTACATGGGAATAATCTTTCAAAAATTCTTTGAAATTAAAATAACTACCAATAACTGAAAAAGTAGGGTCCACAACTAAACTAAACTAACTGTAATAGTCACAACCAGTATTGACACTAGAGCCATTCAATGACAGCTCACAACCAATGACTAAAAAAGTTGGGTCCACAACTAAACTAAACTAACTATAGTCACAACCAGTCATCACACCCGAGCCATTCGATGACTAATCGCGGTACTTGAGGAAGTCGTCGGTATTCGGACATCTGGCGGAACAACCAGTCTGACACCCGAGCCATTCGATGACTACTGACTACCAATGACTGAAAAAGAAGTGTCCGCAACTAAACTAACCGCAATAGTTACAACCAGTCTGACACCCGAGCCATTCGGTGACTCCTGACTACCAATGACTGAAAAGAAGTGTCTGCAACTAAATTAACCGCACTAGTCACAACCAGTCTGACACCCGAGCCATTCGATGACTCTTGACTACCAATGACTGAAAAAGAAGTGTCCGCAACTAAACTAACTGCAATAGTCACAACCAGTCTGAGACCCGCTCCATTCGATGACTCCTGACTACCAATGACTGAAAAAGAAGTGTCCGCAACTAAACTAACCGTTCGATGACTCCTGACTACCAATGACTGAAAAAGAAGTGTCCGCCACTAAACTAACTGCAATAGTCACAACCAGTCTGAGACTCGCGCCATTCGATGACTCCTGACTACCAATGACTGAAAAAGAAGTGTCCGCAACTAAACTAACCGCAATAGTCACAACCAGTCTGACACCCAAGCCATTCGATGACTCCTGACTACCATTGACTGAAAAAGAAGTGTCTGCAACTAAACTAACCGCAATAGTCACAACCAGTCTGACACCCAAGCCATTCGATGACTACTGACTACCAATGACTGAAAAAGGAGTGTCCGCAACTAAACTAACCGCAATAGTTACATCCAGTCTGACACCCGAGCCATTCGATGACTCCCGACTAGGGACGTAAATGAATCGAATATTTTTTGTTCGATTCGTGATTCGTATTCGTTTGAGGTGATTCGTATTCGATATTTTCAAATCCGAATACGAATCTGAATAAATATTCGGATCCTTATCGAATACGAATATGAATCAAGGGTATTCGATTTGTGAGTTTGACAAATATATTCGGAATATAAATCTAATTATATAAATTATATACATACACACACACACACACACACACACACATATATACATATACATATACATATACATATACATACATACATACATACATATATATATATATGTGTATATGTACATATATACACACATGTTATCCCAGAGTGGAAGGCTTGTTCTTATCAAACATGTCCTTAGTGCCATCCCCATACACACACTTGGCCCTACTAAACTACCTAGAAGTATCATCACTTGCCTACATCAGAAAATGAGCAATTTTCTCTGGGGATCCAAAAATGAACACCAAAACTACCACTGGAGCTTTTGGAAGGACATTTGCAGACCCAAAGATGAAGGGGGACTCAATATTCCTAACCTTGATACCCTACAGATGTCTTATGGGATCAAAATGTGGTGGAGCTACATGGATAATAACTCTCTCTGGGCAAATTTCATTCATCATAGATAACCTAACAGCTTCAACAACCCTCCCAAACTCATTGACTCACCAACTTGGAAGAGATTACACCACATCCATGACAAAGTCAACACCATCATCAATATTGACTTTGACAACCAACCATCCTGGGATGATGGTCAAACCGGCTTCAGCCTAAAGAGAGCTTACAATGCCCTGAGAGAGAATCATCCTACTCAAAACTTTTTAAAATACTCTTGGAATACTAAACAGTATCCTAAGATTTCTCTCTTTCTTTGGAAGACATACAAAAATATTCTACCCTTTACTAACAATCTCACAAGATTTGCAGTTACTCTGCCCTCTATTTGTTTTCTGTGCAGGAACAACTGTGATGATCAAAATCACACACTCAAGCAATGCAGCTACAGCAAACAAGTTTGGGCACATTTTGAAGAACATTTCAAAATCCCTAGAAGTAATACACATGGGATTTGTGCGTACCTGATGACCTGGTGGTAAGATCACACTACAAGCAACAATCCACAGAAGAAAATTGCTCCTGGAATCATAGCTTTTGAAATCTGGAAGGAAAGAAATCGCAGAAAGCATCAAGAAGAATAAAAAACAACAACTTAGATCATTCAGATTATTTGGAACAAACTAATCGAGTGGACTATTGGAAAAGGAAAAGGGAAATTTTCTCTAACCTTTGAATATCCAATTGCACATACACCAGCCGTTCAAATCTTCAAATGGCAAGCTACTAACACCACAGTGAACACGGATGTGGCAGTAGGCAATGGAATCATGGTGGGCAGTGCAATCTTACGAACAACCAACGGAGACTTCATTGGAGGTATGGCAAGAATGCTTCAACAGAAGACCAACGCAGAAGAAGGAGAACTGTAAGCTGGACTATTGGGCCTACAATGTGCCACAAAAATTCTTCATGGACAAATAAATCTCTTCATGGACTCCAAAAATGCAATAAATAGAATTAATCGACAAATAGAGAAGATACAGTCAGCTTCAACATAAAGACAATTCTACAAGCAAGACATGGGAGTGCCAGCCACATATACAGAGAAGAAAACACAGCGGCATATAATCTAGCAAAATATGCACTCAAAAACAATCTGTTTTACAACTATTTATCATTCACTTCTCTTCCCAAAAATGTCAGGGGAGCAATTAGATGTGACAAAACTTGTATCTCGATTCGTCTTAATTAATATATAAAAATTTCTTCAATATATATATGGGAGGAAGGGTCAGATGGTTCAGAGCTTAATTTTGCAGAAGACATTAGAAATTTTTTCAAGGAATGCTGTCCAAACAAACCTGAAAAAGCAACCAAGAAGCAGTCCACAAATAAACCTTTAACCAAGAGCCAAAAGAAAAAGTCAAAAAAGGAACTTAAGAAGAAAATGGCAGGGCAAGAAAAGGATGAAAGTGATTGATCTTGTAGGATCTTTCAGTACTATATTAGTTTAGTCCTTTTTTGGTGTGATCATTGGCATATGGTTCTGTTTAGTTCTATAGTTGCCTTTTCTGTTGCTGGAGTGCAATTGGGTTTCGTTTCACAGGTATTAGACGCATTTGGATGGTTAACTTAGAAGTTTTCTTTCGTTTGGGGTCTGTCTTTTTTCCTGGCGTGGGCTTGCTAAGGGCAGACAAAGGGTTGGATTTATGGTTGAAGCAGAATGCAAGAGTGGTCAAATTGGCAGGACTAAGGAAGGCGGCGAATTGGGATTTATGTGGTTTTCTGCTCGAAGATAATACATAAGAACAGAAGAAAGAAATATATTACTAGCTTTGGATACTCATTGTGCTTGTAGAAATTCACACGGTCTCACGCTTTTCACAGCAGACTCAGTACAGCCAGACTCCAATTTTTCGAGGGGCCCAATCTAAGCATGGTTTATGGAAAGGCTAGTTGAGTTGAATGAATGTGTTAGGAACATTGCTTTGCTGTTTGGTTGCTGCATTATTGTACTTGGTACCAGATAGGGTCCTCTGTGCTTTTCTTGGTTGTTGTTTTATTTTCTAGTTTCTTTTCAGCTTGGCCGGTTTGTGGGGTTGGCCTCCCCTTCCTTGTACTCTTTTTCTCATTCTCAATGAATAAATTTTCCTTGAAATATAGATATATATATTCTAGCCGTGCACTCCCTCCCGGTGGCAGTCATCAATCTTCTTCATACTAGGATGGCCAATTTCTTTTGGGGAAGAAGGCACGGCAACCAACTACACCACTGGAAGAGCTGGAAACATCTTTGTCAACCCTCAAGCGCTGGTGGGCTTGATATTAAGGATCTTCAAACACTTCAACAGAACCAATCGATCAAGCTTTGGTGGCGGGTAAATCATGATACGGGTGTCTGGGCTAACACCATGCGAGCCATCTACATGCGCAAGGGCACAATCAAAGAGAAGCTCACTGATTCCACGCCATGGAAGAGAATTTGCCGGGTTCACTCCTTCGCTATCAGTCACGTTATTGATTCTGTGCATCCCCCACTTTGGGATGGGAAACCGTTCTCTTCCAAGAATACCCTCCTTTCTCTCTATGGCGTATTACCTTCCCGACTTTCCTGCAAGTACATTTGGCATAAGGCCCAAACTCCTAAACTCCGAATCTTCCAATGGCTGCCTACCCTTCCCTGATTTAACCAAGCGCTTCAGCTCCTGTCTCCCCAGCCAATGTCCGCTATGCAAGCAAGCAGAAGATTCCATAGATCATACTCTCGGAAATTGCAGGTTTGGTTACCAGGTCTCGAAGTACTTTGGCAATCTCATCGATGCTCCCATGTCAGCTCCCAACCTCAAACTTAGCCAAATTTTCATCAGTTGGTGGTTCTCAGGTGATACGTTCTCCTTCAAAGGGATTCTACGAGTCATTATGCCCGGTGTCATCGCTTGGCACCTCTGGAAGGCAAGGAACTTAGCAATTCATGAAGGCCATATCCACACCAAGGAGGGTATCATCCAACAGTGTTTTAAACATATTCAAGCATGGTGCTGGGCTTCACGACGCAAAAAATGGCTGATCCATGATAACACCTTCAGGGGTTGGGGTTTAGATTTATTTTGGATTAATGGTAGCAAGCTTTTGAATGTGGTGTAGTTAGGCCTTTTTTTCCCTCTTTCTTGTACTTCCTCCTTTTCTCTCCTTTTAAATATATATATATATATATATATATGTATGTATATATATATATATATGTATGTATGTATATATATATATATATGTATGTATATATATATATATATATATATATGTATGTATGTATATGATTGGGTTTTGCAGGCTTCTAAACTCCAAAACCCTAGAAGCACTGCTCTGTGTGCTCTCTGCTTCCGCCTCCACTGCTCTTCCTCATCGCCACATCTGTTCTGCTCTCGGCATCAATTTCTCAAAAACCATGTATCGCTTCGCAGCAAATCTTGCCTCTAAGGCTAGGGTCGCCAAGAACTGCACTCAACAGGTAAGTGGTAGGTTAAGTTGGAACAGAAACTATGCTGCCAAAGATATTAGATTTGGAGTCGAGGCTCGAGCCTTGATGCTTCAGGGAGTAGAAGAGCTTGCCAATGCTGTTAAGGTCACCATGGGGCCAAAGGGGCGCAATGTTGTGATTGAACAAAGCTGGGGTGCACCAAAAGTAACAAAAGACGGTGTGACTGTTGCAAAAGGTGTAGAGTTTAGCCACAAAGTAAAAAATGTTGGGGCGAGTCTTGTAAAACAAGTTGCTAATGCTACCAATGATGTTGCCGGTGATGGTACAACCTGTGCAACGGTTCTCACACAGGCCATATTTGCTGAAGGATGCAAGTCAGTTGCAGCAGGTATGAATGCAATGGATCTGAGACGTGGTATTTCAATGGCTGTTGATGCTGTTGTAACAAACCTCAAGAGCAGAGCACGCATGATTAGCACATCTGAGGAAATTGCTCAGGTAGGAACAATCTCTGCGAATGGGGAAAGAGAGATTGGTGAGCTAATTGCCAAGGCTATGGAGAAAGTTGGAAAGGAAGGTGTCATTACAATTCAAGACGGGAAGACATTATTCAATGAGCTAGAAGTTGTGGAGGGGATGAAACTAGACAGGGGATATATCTCTCCGTATTTCATTACAAACCAGAAGAATCTGAAATGTGAGTTGGATGATCCTCTTATTCTTATCCATGAGAAGAAAATATCAAGCATTAATGCTATTGTGAAAATCCTAGAGTTGGCTTTGAAGAAGCAAATACCACTGTTGATTGTAGCTGAAGATGTGGACAGTGATGCACTTGCAACACTCATCCTTAACAAACTTCGTGTTGGAATCAAGGTATGTGCCATAAAAGCTCCTGGCTTTGGAGAAAATAGGAAATCAAATCTTCAAGATCTTGCCACTCTCACAGGAGGCCAAGTTATAACCGAAGAGCTTGGGATGAACATTGAAAATGTTGATATTGAACTGCTTGGAACATGCAAAAAGGTCACAGTTTCAAAAGATGACACAGTCGTTCTTGATGGCGCAGGAGAGAAAAAGACTTGAGGAAAGATGTGAACAGATAAGGTCAGCAATCGAGTTGAGCACATCCGATTATGACAAGGAGAAGTTGCAAGAAAGATTAGCTAAGCTCTCCGGTGGTGTGGCTGTTTTAAAAATTGGAGGTGCAAGTGAAGCTGAGGTTGGGGAAAAGAAAGATAGAGTTACCGACGCTTTAAATGCCACAAAAGCAGCTGTGGAGGAGGGAATTGTCCCAGGTGGTGGTGTTGCGCTTCTCTATGCTTCGAATGAATTGGAAAAGTTACCCACTGCCAACTTTGACCAGAGGGTTGGTGTTCAGATTATCCAGCATGCCCTCAAGACACCGGTGTATACAATTGCAGCAAATGCCGGAGTAGAGGGTGCGGTTGTGGTTGGCAAGTTGCTTAAGCAAGATAACCTTGATCTCGGTTATGATGCAGCTAAAGGTGAATATGTGGATATGGTGAAGGCTGGGATTATTGACCCATTGAAAGTGATAAGAACGGCGTTGGTTGATGCAGCCAGTGTTTCATCCCTACTGACCACCACGGAAGCGGTGGTGGTTGAGCTTCCCAAGGAGGAGAAGGATACTCCGGCCATGGGCGGTGGCGGAATGGGTGGCATGGACTTTTGATGAAAGACTGCAATCCTCCACAAGACCATATTCTTCTTTTCAACTGTAGTCTAGCTTAGCATACATGTAACTTCATCTCTCGAATGAACAATAAGAGATATATGTCTGGTGGTGATGTTTCTGCCAACTTTCATAGGGAGGGGAATTTTTACTTCGGCTGTAATTTTTATTTATCCAGTCTAAGACTGTTTGGAAGACAAATTGAGGGTTTTGTTACCATTGTCATGGAAAATTTAATTTTTTTCTCTAGAGACAATATTTGAAAGTTAAAATATATATATATATATATATATATATATAAATATATATATATACACACACACACACACACACACACATATATATATATATAGATTTTGGTTCTGGTGAGAATGCGATCTTAGGAGAGAAATGAGAATGAATCTGGTGCTTTAGATTGTTAGATCTAAGGGTTCGGATTGCATCAAAATCACATGCAACAAAACGGTTTAAAAATGCATCACGTCGAAATGCATCATAATCCTTTGAAAATGCACTATCTCAAAATCTAAGCGCATGATACAATCTGAGCCGCACGATGCATCAAATCCAACGGCTAGATTTCATTCTCATTTCTCTCCACAAGGTGCATTCTCACACGAACCGGCCCATATATATATATATATATATATATATATATATATATATATATATATATATATATATATATATATATATATATATATATATATATATATATATATATATATATATCAAATGGTTATAAAATATTTTAAAATCTAAATGAAGTGAATAATTTTAAACGAACCGAATATATTTAAACTAAGTGAATATTTAAACGAACCGAATATGTTTAATATATTAAACGAACTGAATACGAGTCTTAAAAAATATTCGAACCGAATTCAAATTCGAATTCAAATATCACTCCATCTTAACGAATATGAATATTTTTCATGAATATTCGATTCGATTCGGTTCGTTTACAACCTTACTCCTGACTACCAATGACTGAAAAAGAAGTGTCCGCAACTAAACAAACTGCAATAGTCACAACCAGTCTGAGACCCGCGTCATTCGATGACTCCTGACTACCAATGACTAAAAAAGAAGTGTCTGCAACTAAACTAACCGCAATAGTCACAACACCCGAGCCATTCGATGACTACTGACTACCAAAAATGCTTCTTTGTCACGATCGATAAGGTTTGATCCATATTTTTTCATATTTAATAAGAATCACATCAGCGAATAAAACTATAACGCAATCAATATCATTCATTTATTGTGATTAATAAAAATTATATATCTATTTATTTATAATCCATACTTAATACAAATAAGTTTATTTTAATTTTTGTCATTTTAATATTTTAAATTTTTATATTTTTTTATCTAGTCGGTATTTAAGTACATATTTAAAAAATTTATTAAAAAATTATACATTTAGAGAATAACTCATGTCCCTTTTATTGTATTTGTGGTAATTTAAACCGTAATTATGTTATTTATTCATGCTTCCATGGTTTTATTTAGGACTAAGTTGGGAGTAAATCTTACCGAAGATGGCCGGCCGGGCGGGGTGTTAAAAAACTTTGGCCGCCTAAATCAAAAAATTGGGCGACGAGGCGGAAGGTTCTGGCGGGATCTTAGAAATTCTTTTTATCATCCACGGGATCTTGTCATTTTAAAAACTTTGGCCGCACTTGGCCGCCTAAAAACTTATCCGCTATTAATCTTCTCTCTAACCGTACGAATCATAAATTTTACAAGAAAAGGGAACGACGGGATGAACTTCTGAAACACCTCAAAATATGCCGCAAACTTTCGTTACTTTGTTGCGGGAAGATGATTTCTTCAGCACCCGACTCGTAAGTGTCTTTCAACAAAATCTTATTACGTAGTTAGATTTTTAACTATTTTTCTATTTCGTCCGGATTAGGTTTTTAACTATTGTTCTATATCTTCACATTACTCCCTAGCACATCCCCGAATTGGTTGCAGACAACATGGAGAACTTGAACGAGTTGATGATAGTTCGGGTCCGGACCCTACTATGATGAGAGTCACCATCTTCCGCACATCTTCTGCTACTTTTTTGAAAGACGGTTGGCAACCATCGTAGAATTATACCAGTTAATGTCGGGATTTATCCTGCATTTCCAATACCATATTGGTAACATTTATTTCCTCACGGTGTTTGGTCCCCACGGTGCATAGATCCTTCTTGGCTTTTATTCAAGCGCAGGAGAATACAGTGAAAATTCAATGTAATTTGTATTGATTAAACTTGTAAAATCTTTGAATAATTGGATGACTTAAATGTATTTTTGTCGGTATTAACTTGAATATTTTTTTGATCTGGAGCTATTTTCTACAGAATTTGTTCATCGACCAAACCTGTTCTTGGACCCTATGTCGACGACAACCATTAATAAACTTGGTCGGCCAAACCAAAAAAAAGAAGTAAATAGTAAATAGTATTAATAAACGGTGGATGATCTTATTATTTAAAATATTATTTTCTTGGGACAATAAATAGTAGTTGAAAAGAATTGATGTGACCGAGTATGATATATCGAACGGTGGATCTTATCTCCGTAATTATGATGATGGCCCACACAGCTTAAAATATTGCTCAGTAAAGTTATCGATCCAAAATTATCTCTTGCTCAGTCAAATTATTGTAGGCATGCATTTTTCTATTACAACTATGCCAGTGGGATTAGTTTGGTCTACCTAGCCCACTAATAATCATTAATCACGTTCGACCGAACTAGTCTCAACTCTCAAGTTATTACACCTGTTATTGAGATTAGTTTGGTCGACCTAGCCCACTAATAAACTTGGTCGACCTTTTAATAAGAGTCGCATCGAGTTCCATTTGATGTTTTTTCAAATGCCATAAATAGTTTCTATGATCGACCAAACCTAATATTAGAAAAGGTCTACCGAAACCAAAATAATAAAATTTGAGCATATGTCGATTTTGAAATATTCTTTCCCTATAGTTGTTTTACAGAATTTTGCATACAAAATATATTTTATTCTTCATTTGTATTCTTATAAGAATATTCTTATACGGAGTAACAATTCTTTAATTAATTTAAAAAATTTTCCAATTGTAATAATGGGACAGTAAATAGTAATTGAAAAGATTTGATGTGACTGAGGCAGGTTATATCGAACAGTGGATAAAGGCCCTTATAATCTCCGTAAAAATAATTATTGGGATATGCATTTCCCTGCATGCTTTTAAACTACCCGAATTCAATGCCAAACCGTTCAAAGTCATTGCACCAATAACCGTTCAAAGTCATTGCACCAAGAACCGTTCAATGCCAAAGCCTATCACCAAGTACCAATGGTTATCCCCCCTATAAATTCTAAGTCATTGCACCATCCTATTCTCAATCCCTTCACAAATCAAGTTATTCTCCAATGCTTTCACCCATCCTATTCTCCAATGCAGTTATCTATCGTTAAAATTTCTCACCTTTCTATCATAATGGATTGGGAGTAATGGTTCTTTCATTTACGTGGCTATTTAGTAAAGATCATAATGGATTTCTCGTATTAATAAAAGGAGCATAATGGATTTCTTGCGATCCATTATGCCCCTTTTGCCATTCTCCCACTGCCTTTACCGGAAACACATTGTTTTTGGATCAACAATAAGTCTACAAGCAACAATGTGTTTTCTTCCCGTAAACTTGTTTTGGGGTTGAGAAATGTGCTTCAATTGCTACTAGCTCTTAGGGGGGCTATGGAGGAGGAGGGACAACGAGTACAGAGCTGACATGGCGGAGGCTCTGGGCTCAAGTGGTGAGTCCAAGAATGTGCTTCTCACTATAGAGATCAGTGTTGGATTATGTTATTACAGTCCATGTGTATTATAAGCACCCTGGGTTGACTCCTCACTCCTGGTTTATTAACCGACACGAGGAGAAGGATCAACTAGTACAGACCTGACATGGAAGAGGCTTTAACTCAAGTGGTGAGTCCAAGAATGCATTTCACACTACAGTGACTAGAAGTCTATACATTTTGTGATGGACACACATAACGAGTTCTATTTGTGCTTTTGTGGTTTTTATATTGCTGCCGAATGTTAAACAATGTACAACGAAGTTAATTTCTGTTGTGTTTCTTTAATTCATTTATATGATCATCTTTATTTTATTGGATTCAAGGTTGTTTTCATATATTCCCGTCGATTGTTAAACAATGTACAACGAAGTTAATTTCTGTTGTGTTTCTTTTATTCATTTATATGATCATCTTTAGTTTATTGGATTCAAGGTTGTTTTCATATATTCCCGTCGATTGTTAAACAATTTGATAGAACAAGGCTCGTCGAATGTTAAATTTCATCACTTAATAATAAAACATTACAATAATTGATACAATAATTAAAAAAAAGTTTTAAAAGTTTACAAGGGGGGGAAATTTATTCTGATCTTAAATCAACCCATTCCTCATCACTCTTCGTCACTCATATCAGAGGAAGCTCCAGAATCAAGGTCGCTCACTGATAATCCTAGGATTTTTGCCAAAGCTTCCACCCTCTCTTCCAAATTCGCCATGATTTCCATCCAATTTTGAGACCCGTTTTGGAGTTCTTTTTCTTCGGTCTCCGGTACCCCGAGCTTTTACTCCAGATCTTTCACTCTCTCCATCCATGACTGAATTTTTTTCTCAATGTTTTTTGGGACATCATTTGCATTGTTTTCCATATCGAAAATTGTTTGAGATGCGGGTGATTTACATTTCAATATTTCCGAATATATAAGCGTGCTTCACTCTCAGCCAGCATTAACATCCTGTGAACTTGGTCAAAGTTTGGGAAATGTGCGAATTTGAAGTTAATGCCGCATGTGAATAGGAAAAGAAATAGTAAACATATAACTTTTTAAATTATTATTATTATTATTATTATTATTATTATAATTGTTTTAATTATTATTATTAAAGTTAAATCTGCTTTTAGTCGCTGTAAAATATTTTTTCTTCAAACTATTTTTTCTTCAAAACACCCTTAAAATATTTTTAATTTTGATAATGGTCCTTGTACATAATTAAAATGTTAATGCTGCATGTGATTTTTTAAATATGCCGACCTACTACAATGTCGACATATGTGGTCAACCAATTATTAAGCAACGTTTCCGGCGTCGTTTTATATTATAATGTCGACATTTTTATATAGGCCGAAGAAACGTTGATATTTCAGTCAACGTTTTGGGAATTGTGCGGATTTGTAATTAATGCATGTGAATTTTAATTATGTCGACCTATTATAATGTCAACATTATAAATATCGACATATTAATAAGCATTGTTTTCATACTTGACGGCGTCGTTTTATATTTAGGGGGTTGTATTCAATCTGGATTCTGTAGTATTTTTTTGGATTTTAAAAGCCTGTGGGTATTGAATTCAGATTTTAAAAAGTCGTTAAAAATCTAGATGTATTCAATTCAGATTTTAAAAAGTCATTAAAAATCTAGATGTATTCAATTCAGATTTTAAAAAATCTTTCTAAATCTAATGGTATTAAAAAATGGATAGATTTTTAAAGATTTTAAAATATGTAGATTTTGATGGATTTTTAGCTCTTGGATATAAATACAAATCCACCACCAAATCTCACGCCAAAGATAGGGATTTTGACAACTCTTTCATCGACTCCTTCATCCCAGACGATTTCCCCGTTACGCCGTGAACAGTGCCGGGAAGAAATTGAGGCGGAGGAAGATGTGGATCCGGACAGTAGATCTGGAAGATCTTGCCGCGGAGGATGTCAATCCTGACCTATTTTGCAGCGATTTTGCTGCCGAAGATGCCCTCTTCTCTCTGTTCGCCGAAGATTTTGCAGCCGAACTGCTCTTCTCTCNAGAAAGAAAGGAGAGGTGGCGGCGGAGGTTCTTGGGAGGAAAAAGGAAAAAAAAGAAAAGAAGAAGAAAAAAGAAAAAAAAAAGAGGAAAACATAATCTTCATGGATTATAAACAATCTTCCATAATCTTATAAAATCATATTCATAAAATACATTAAAATCTATCTAACTCTGCGTAGATTTAAAATAATCCATTGATTTTAGAGAGTTCATGAATTTTAAACAATCTATCATAATCTTTTAAAATCTAAATTGAATACACCCCCTTAGTATTTTTTTTAAACAAATACTAATATTATATTTGGTATCCGTTAGTACTCCGAGTATTTTTTAAATTACAAAACGAGTTAAATACGTACTCCGTAATTAGGAAACGATGCGTCAATTCAAACTTTTCTCAGTTTTTAAATTACAAAACGAGTTAAATACGTCATTGGGAAATGTGCCAATTAAAAAAATTGAATTACACAAGGAGTAAAAACAGTATTTAGGAAACGATGCCTAAGTTTATCCGTCGACGGCGTCGTTTCATTTATGGGATGGATACTATAAATTTGAGAATCACCGGCTAGGGTTTCATACGTAAAAAGGTTCATTCTCATCCATTTGTAAAGATCTGCACAATGACGATGTAACACCCCAACCCGCGTAACCCGAACCGACGAGTTATCGAGTTGGGTTGCTACTAATTTGGTATTCACATGCATAATATTTTCAAAACTCTTAAAAACAAATCAATCATTGACACTTATTGAGAAACAAATCATAATTAATCAGAGTAAGTAATTCAAACATTGCGGAAGCCTTTAAAACAATGTCGTCAAATCCTCTTGTAGTTTAAACAAAATAAAAATCAACAAGTATTTAATTCAATTTCAAACAGCCTCGGGCCATCCACCAGCGTCACGCTTCACTGTCCTACAGGCTGCAGCTCATCCAGTTCTTGATCCCTACCTGTAAAAATAGGGAGAGTGGAAGTATCTAACGCTAAAACTAACTCATAGACTAGCACCCATTAATATATAATCAAACAATATCAGAAGGATCAGCAAATATCATTATCCAACTGTGCCACTATTTACCCTGATAATTCAGTTTAGTTCTTACGCATACTTACTCCATCTGCCTGCTAGATATAATCCAATTCGTACCTACGAGAGTAATGGAATCCAGGCTCTCACCCAAACCCACACTCATAACTCCAAAGCTCTCGCAATGGAGGGGGTTGAGGCCCCCGCTGGCTCTCGCCAGGGGTCAATGACCACCATGCGCACGTTTTTAACCCTCGAGACCACCGGATGAACGACGTCACCCGCGTGACCTTAGTTTCTAATCTCAAACCGATTTATGATTTCTAATATCTAATTAAACTCAGATTCGCCTTGTACCACTAGGTGGCCTACTTCACACTTTTATTTCACAACATAACAATACACCAATAAGCTCACTAACATCTTACATGCTAAGAACAACACGAGCATAGGCCTAACAGAAGAACAGATGCAATCTAGATCACAAAACACATAAATCAAGCAACACAACCGGACAATAAGGACTGCTAAATGCTCCAGAAGCAGTAACTTAATTCCCTTCTCGTTTGGCAGCAAGGTGGAAACAGCAACACACTGCCACAGCGGTGGCAGTAGCAAGTCGGCACATATCGAGAGAGAAGAGACGAATAGAACAGAGAGAGAAAAGAGAGCATGATCGCAGAACACAAAGCAAGGGAGAAACAGAACAGAGCAGCAGCAGCAATGTATAAATTTTTCCAAAGTCAAATTCATATCCCAACTCAAATTAAATTCGCACAATCAGTCGCATAATCATGTTTACGAATTCAACATCAATTGGATGAAAACATATTAATGAATCCTAATCTACGAACTAATTTTAACGAGAGATAAATCACTCACCTCAATTGAATCGATGAAGAAATCACAAATAATCCCCACCTAGATTCCGGCGGAAGCAATAGCAGAGTCCTCTTTTCCGGCGACATCTCAGGCAGCTTGATCGACGAACTCCTTCCAGCGAGCAATCCGTCTTCTCTTGGTTTCGTCGCCAAGATGGAGAAGAAGAAAGTCGTGATGCAGATTGGAATGGGAGGGGCACTATATACGGAATAAATTATATGGAAAATGCTTGGTTCACAAACAAAATTGTCACAAACTTCACAAACTTACTATTTGTGAACTTCAATAAATATAATTAAATAGTCTAAACTAATTTTAAAATGAAAATTTAAATCATAAATAGTAAATTTGTGAAGTTTGTGAGTATTCTGTTTGTGAACGTAGCATTGCTCAAAAACTAATTTTAAAATGAAAATTTAAATCGTAAATAGTAAATTTGTGAAGTTTGTGAGTATTCTGTTTGTGAACGTAGCATTGCTCAAATTATATACACAGTTTTATTGGGCTTCTCCGTTTTGGAATAGGAATAGGCGTACGCATTTGCTTTAGTAATAATGTTATTATTATTTAATATTATAAAATCTCTATATTTATTAATTGAACTGTAACGTCTATTTTACTCATCACAGTTTATACAAAAGGTCAAACTTAACAAGTTATATACCGTTGGTCACCATTTTACGAGATCTACCCGAAAACCTAATTTTTAATTAAAATGGTCAACTTTACAAATACTTCATATTTTGAAGTTAATAAATAATCAATTTATTTTTATTAAAATAACGGCCAACTACTAAGCCGGTTCTCAAGGCGTTACAGACGAGTTTTTGTTTTATATATCCTCTCCAAAGATCTCGGTTTCAGGGAAAGATTGGTTTGTGATTTCATTCATTTTCTTGTGTTTCTTTTACTTGCTTTTAAATTATGTTATGTCTAATTCACTCAATCTTTTAATGATTCAGAGGATCCCACATTACGTTAATATGATTGCCGATGGTCCAGAGTACGCTGATGGCGATGTCATCAGGATTTTTTCCCCGCTTTCCTCAGACCCTTTTGAAGTGAAAAATTCAAGTATGTGAGCAAGGAAACCTCTTTTTTTCGGGAGGGCTGGGCTAGAATAGTTGAGGCCCATAATCTGGAGGAGATTCATTTTCTTTATTTTCATTATGTAACGGACTTTGATTATTCTATCAAAGTTTTTGGTGAAAATGGACGTGCGGTGGAATATTAATATTGCCACCGAACAATAATATGTACTCCGTAATATTTTTATTTTAATGAACTATTTCCGTTGTTCTTTCAGGCTCTCAATTAGGTAAAAGGCTCATAATAGATTTCTCAGGATCCATTGTGGAACTTTTTCCGGGAATGAAGTTAACATTTAGATCTTCTCTCAGGGAGTATCAAAAGATCACAAAGGATGGATAAGCAGACCCTGAGGCGTTGGCATTTTTTTGAGAAAGTCACCCAGAAGGCTTGTAAAGAAGAAATGAAACTTGACTACTTATAATGCTTGTTTTATAAGCTTATAAAGATCCATTTTTTCTTTACAAGCCTTATGGGTGACTTTCTCTAAAAATGCCAACGCTCCAGGGTCTGCTAATCCATCCTTTATGATCTTTTGATACTCCCTACGAGAAGATCTAATTGTTAACTTCATTCGTGGAAAAAGGTTCACAACTGATCCTGAAAAATCCATTATGAGTCATTCCTCCATAACAAGTTGGCTTATGATGGAGGAAAGAGTGTTTACACAGCTCAGAATAGATTTCTCGTACACCCAAAATGCTTATGATGGCGGCAAGATAGTCTTAGGTGACGGGATCTCGTATAGTGTAGGGAAGAATTTGTTGGCTCTCCACAATATGAAGCTTGTTTTATAAAACTCATAATAGTATTTATCGTATAACCAAAAGGCTTGTGATCGGGATCTCGTATAGTGTAGGGAAGTATTTGTTAGCTATCTTTGTACTATCCAGAATATGAATTAATGGAAGAGGTTGACTTTTGTATGAATATGTTAGGTCGACTTCTCATGTATGAATATGGTAGGTCGACTTTTCGTGAATGTGGCCTTAAATTTTAAACGTTAAATTGATTCTTTTCAATTAAGGTCAACCTTTTGTGTAAGATTATGGAAGAGCTTGAATATGGTAGAGGTCGACTTTTATAGAATATGGTCTTAAATTTTCAATGTTAAATGGGTTAGTTTTCTATGTTGACCTTTGCGCAGCGAATTGGTCAATAAATGAGGTCGACTATTCACACAAAGACACATCGAAATACAATAGCACAAGATTTCTATTTACGAGTTTCAAATGTCCTCTCTACATATTGCATATGCGTATGCAGTTCTCAATTGGACAACGTCAAGTTCACTGAATCCGGTAAGCACCGAAGGTTGCAAATCTTGAACACCAAGCTCAATGAACTTCAAGGCAAACACCCCACAGTCTGAATTTGTCTGTTGCGGCACCAAAGGCTGTTCAACACTCCATTTCGCGCTCATGTCTCTATGGTCGCCAAGAATACCTTGAAGATAATTTGATAATTGCATATCACAGGAAAAACTTTGAGCATGTTTGACAGTACTTCTTCAAGTTTACTCATGCTTATAATTCGTTGTAGGGAGTCAAACACCATCAGACACTTTCTCTCGAATTCAGCTCTTATGGCGACCCAATGATCGGATATGTTGTGAACCCAATAAACACATGAAATATCCTTCCACGGTTTAGAGCATGTGTTCCATCTACCATGAACTATTTTCGTGACGCCGGTGTCCAGGATTGGAAATAGTTCAGTAGTGGCATTCACCTCACTTAACATTTGAAAGCTCTCTGGGAGGACGGGATATGTGCTATCTTTCTTGTTATACATTTTCATGAAATAGATCATGATTTCTTCCATATGTTGCGAATGAAATAAAAAGACTAACATATTAAATTTATAATACTAAGATATAAATATATAATACTAATATTAACTTATATTACCGAGGTCTCCAACCAGCCGCCAACCTTGATCAAGGAACTCCACCACTTCTTAACAATCCCGTGGGACTCTCCCCTCTTTTCCATGATACACTGAACTTCTCTCCCATCAGCAATTGCCGACTGCATGAAATGATGGAAGGCCTCAAGTTGTTGGCTGGATGGGTTCCTTCGTATGTTGAGTTGCGCTTCTTCGGCTTTATCCAGCTCATTTGAACCTTCATTATTTATAACCTTTACCTTTTTATGTACATTGGCGAAGTAAGGGCTCGATATATGAATACTTCGTTTCTTCTCCCCGAGGCCTCGACCCAATTCCTGGATGTTAAAAGTAATATGTCAAGGAAAAGTAAGTTTAATTCAATAATACTCAAATTAAACCGTACCCGTGCAGCAGCGACTTCATCCACATCTGTCAGTTCTCTCAAGACGTCACCATCGGACTCAAGGTTCTACTCAGAATTTTTAAGGAATAAGCATTAAGCAGGATCACAAATGAAATTATCAGAATATAAGTTTATTACCTCATCAACATTGTTTTTAGTTGATTTGCAGAACTCAACAACATCATGGACAATTTTATCACTCATTGTCATCTCATCTTCTAGGGCCTCTCCCTCAACTGCAAACTTTTCCTCTTCTTCTTCCTGACCATTGGAAACATAATGCTTTAAAAAAGGTTCAAAACATAAGAACATACTTCGTCGACCATATAAATCGGAGTTAAAAAAAAGATCGACGAATGGGGTCGACCAAGTTACCTGGATCGGTGGACTCCTATTCTTTACTTCTTCATTAAGGTTAAATTGGTCACCCTCTTCTTCCTTTTCTCTTCAGGAATTCCTTCAAAACTGGAGGGGTTGACCATATTAAATGCCATGGGCTCATCTTCTTCCTTCCCATCTTTTATTTCCTCCTCTTCATTATGGTCCACCCCTTCAAAACTAGAGGGGTCGACCATATTCACTTCCACCGACTCTTCTTCCTTCCCATCTTTTTCCTTCGCTTCGTCACTCCTTCCCTTTAAGGTGTCAAGTAAGGTTAAGAGAATTCTTTTTTCTAGTGTCTGAAATTTTCTCTCCAAGACATTCTCCACCTCCTGACATAGCGTCTTTTGAAGCTCAGAAAATTTACCATCAATGTAATCTTTCAGTGAATCAGGCAAGTTTTGACTAGAATTTCCACTAAAAGATGAAGCCTTGATATTGGTTGTTCTTTCCAACAAACGGCTCTGCTTTTCTAACAGAGGTATGTGCTCTGCTTTTCCAAGTGGGGTGTTCGGCCTTGATATTTTTCTCCTCCTAAAGACATACTTTTTGGAGGGGACTTCTGACCCCTCACTTGAATAGTGAACTTCATCTGATGATGAATTCCTTCCTGCAGCAACTTCATCTTCACTTGCTGGGGCCAGAAGCTGTTTTTTCATGCATAATCTTACATGCTTGTCACCACCTTCGATTCCCCTTATGAATTCTCCAAGAGTTGAATTGGAAACATAAGGCAAGGAGGTTAGACTGGTGATCCAAGGGGCACGTATTTCACTTCCCTCTCGAAGAAGAATGCTCCTAACACTCTACAAAAGAAAAAGAATTTTTAAAAAAATGATTGTAGATCATGAAGTCGACCTTCACTTTAAATTGTAGGTGACTTAAGTCGACCTTTACTTTAGAGATCTTAAGTCGTCTTTCACCTTAGGTTGACCTTTACTCCAAATATTATTAAGTCGACTCTTAACTTAAGTCGACCATCACTTTAAAGATCATTAAGTCGACTTTCACCTTAAGCCGACCTTGTACTTTAAAGTTTAGAACTTACCTTGGCAGCGTTAAGTGCATTGATTATGGCTTCGTGCGACGGCTTTTTTGAAATTTTATTTTTCCGGAGACACATTCTCGGAAGTGCTGGATTTGTTTGCTCCCTCTTCACTCCAAATGTCTCTCCAAAATCATTAATGCACTCAAATAGGAGAAACTGCATGCACCAATAAATGAAGCCCAATTTAACCAATGAAATTATAGGAACTTTTAATACCAATTTAAATTAATTTACTCACGGATGAGGGGAGGACAAATCCAGTGTAGCAGAGGGTGTTGGATGTTTTCCCGCCTTTGACAAGCTTCTTCTTTTCTGAAACTAAGTCCTTCCCGAAAGATTGGATACAGAGGGACTCCAGGAATGCCCATGTCCCCCATGAAAAAGACATGGAATCATCAGAGTTTGCAACAGTGACAAGGATCCATTTTGGAACTGGGGCATCTTTCTTAGCATGACCAATTAAAACGAGGACAAAAACATCAATATCGCCACCTTCACTATCCACTGGAGTGCATACTCTTTCTTCCCTTCATCGTCAAGTAGCCGGCACAATTTCGAGAACCTCATGACAACAGAAGTGTAACATACCACTCTTTGACTAATTTTCTTCAACGAAAATAGATAGTGAATTCTTATCATACTTCTCTTCGTATCCGGAAGCTAGTTCTGAACATTTGAGTCCAGTAATCAAGGAAAATTCCATTAGAGAGTATCTAATGGGAACTCCATTTACTACAAACCACATTTCAGATGCTTTTTCTCCTTCCACATTAGCCTCCCTAACCATGAACTGCCATAACATGGTTGGAGGGGGAACAAGTAGGACATCAAGGAAAGCACCAAAAGGAGAATCTATCCTAAACACTTCTAGGATTTAAATATGATCGCACAACTTTTCTTTCATCAATTTTTGGAAGTCTTGTAGTGAAGACTTCACAGTCAGCTTTGTATGTGGAATGTCCTTTGAATTTACCTTCGTCTTTATCGCTGGAACCTATATAACAACATATAATGTTAACGAATTTCATATGGAAAGACATGCAATTAGTGCGACCAGTTAGTCGACACTTATTTTAGTCGATCGATAGAGTCGACCAGACTAAAAATTCATAAACCATTGTCCAGTGGTTATTTGGAGAGAGAATAATTAATTTATAATCAAGTTTCTGACCTCGATGGTTCCTTGTGCGGCCTTTGGGCTACCGCTGTGCTCTGTCATCGTCTCTTCCGCATGATACTCATCGTTTCCATTCTTGGAGGAAGACACGGAAGCATTCTTCGTCCTCATTGTAGAAATTCAAGGTTTTCCGAGATCGGTGACTTTAAATGGGTAGGGTTTCGATCAACTTTTGCAGGTGTCAAAGAGGGGGGATAGAGCACACACAGATCGAAAACTCAATGGTCGCACGATGAAGGAAGATGTTTATGGAGGGTTTTTCTTTAGTCTCTTCCGACGTCGTTTTGCCCATTCTCAGATTTTTTATTTAAATTTAAACTCGAAACGCCGTTTACACTTTGTTAAATGGCATAACTTTTCATTTTCTAAGAAGCGCGTCGGTCATACACGCCTTGACATTTCCGTCAATTTAGCTTTACAGGGTAGTCCACCAAATACGAAACATTTACAGGGCATTTTGATAAAAACTTCTTCAACGTATGATAAAAGTAAAATACAATTTTTTTTACGGCAAGCAAAACTTCGTTCTGAAGAAATCAAATGTGTAATACAACTGGGTGGTGTACGGCTCCATGAGACAAAATGGGACGTAGCATGTACAGGATAATCACTAATCATTAACTACATTTAATATATTACCTTACTTATTGTGATTGTTATTCTAAAGGAGTAAATGGTGTGTAACTCCCTTAGGACTTAGGCTATTATTATGGAGTCATTAACATTCTCTTGATTGTAGTTGACTATAAATATAACATCTGTAAATCATGTTTAGCAATGAAATAAGCCTTCCATATATGGTATCAGAGCTGTAAAAAGTCTCTGTCTTCCTTTTTTACGATCCTTTTTTCGCTGCCCTGCTCTCCTCATGGCGTCAAATATCCCTTCCTCCTCTACAATCACCAAAGACACTATGGTGATTCAACTTCATTCCAAAACCCATTTTCCAATCAAGTTGGTGTCCACCAATTTTGTAATCTGGCAACGCCAGGTTCGCTCGACTCTAATCGGCTTGGACCTACTTGGCTAAATAGATGGTACCATGGTTGCTTCGCCCATGGCTATTTCCGGTTCCCCCAACCCGTGCTACTCTATTTGGTTCCGCCAAGATCAATCCATCGTTGGCGCGCTCCTCGGCAGCTGTGCTGATGTTGTTCAACCTCTCATATCTACTGCAGACACAACACACGCTGCATGGATGAGCCTTCACACTGCGTTCGCAGTGCGAGCCGCGGCCGGGTTGTCTCTCTCAGATCCAAACTGGCAAAAACCCCAGTGGTGATCGTCCAATGGCTGAGTATTTGTTTGACATGCGCTCCATAGCGAATGAACTTGCTCTCATTCAAAACCCTATCTCTGAGGAAGATCTTGTAGTCCATGTTTTAAATCAGGTTGGTGATGACTACGATTCCATATCCTCCGCTGCGTTACTTCGCCCCACGGCCATCTCCTTCATGGAGCTTGGGGATATTTTAATAGATCATGAGCGCAAGCTTAAATCATCTGACGAGGCGAAATCAACCATTGTTGCAACAGCCAATTATACACAAAATCTTCGTGCTAGTCGCTCTCTTGCCCCTGTACCACATCGTGATGGTGGCAACACTGTTTTCAATGGTCGGCTTGGGCGTAGCACATGAGGTGGTGGCTCACGGCCTGCTCGACAACAATCTGGGTGTCACATTTGTGATATTCCGGGTCATGATGTGAAGGATTGTCGCAAACTTGGCAGGATTTTGCGTACGCACTGACATCACGCCTTATGTGTTGTCATATTTGACATTATACGTACCCTTGTTTGACCCTATATAAATCTTTATTGTTGCATTGTGGCAGACGATATTGACAATGGTAAGGACATGGGGTGTGACGCCAGTTGCGGCGCTGCCTAAATTGTGATAGAAGCACAGGTGACCATGGCCAGGATGGTGTTGGTAGCAGTTCAGATAATAAAAATAGGGGGTTTCAAACTAGTTCCTTGGCGACTAAGCTCCTCCGACCAACAACGTCGCTCCTCGTAAGCTCAAGCTCTTGGCGACGGTGGCCGGTCTCTTCCACGGAGGCTACTAGATATGGCGGTGATTGTGAATCCAAGGAGAAGAAGAGAATAGACATTACAACTTTGGTTGGGACTTGCTTCTGAATGGCGGTGACTTCCTCCTGTGTGCTGCGGCGGCGGCGAGCATCATGAGTCGAAGAAGACGGAGGTTGATTATCAATTCTACAAAATGCATTTATTTAATTTGGGTATGCTATTGTAAATCTGTAGTGTATTATTTATATAAAATTTAAAAAACTAAATTTAAATTATAAGTTAGAAAATTAAAAGTGAAAAAAATATGAAATAACCAAAATTGATGTCCTAAGTCTTTTAAAACCGAAATAGAAGTATAATGGCAATGTAGTTCAAGAGAATTTGTTGGCTGATAAAAAAAATTTGACAGTGTAATATATTAATGTGATGAGTCAACTATCGGTGATCCGCGGCAGCACTCTGGTGGCTGGCGGTGAGAGATGGCACCGTGGCGGTAATAATGTGGCAGTTACAATGTGACAATGTGGTGGGTGTGGCAGTGTAATAATGAAAGTGGGAACTCTTATTTTAGTCTTAAACGACTTATGACTCCTATTTTTGTATTTTCATAATTTTTTACTTCTATCTAGGGAGTTCTCCCGAAATCTCTCAGGATATGAGTAAAAAGCATGAAAATACTAAAATAAGAGTCCTGTGTCTTTAAAGACAAAAATAGAAGTATAATGAGAGTGTGGTGTAAGAATACGTGTTGACAGTGTGATAGAAAACTGATGACGGCACAATACATGTCCGTGTGATCAGTCAACTGTCGGCAATCTCCAACGACACTCTAGTGGCTGGCGGCAAGAGATGGCAGTGTGGTGGTGATAGTGTAGCAGTTACAATATGATAATGTAGTGAGGGTGTCAGTGTAACAATGACAGTGTGAACTCCTATTTTGGTCTTAAAAGACTTATGACTCTTATTTTGGTATTTCCATAATTTTTACTCTTACCTAGGGGGTTCTCCAAAGGGAGAACTCCCTAGATAGGAGTAGAAACCTATAAAAATATTAAAATATGAATCTTAAGTTTTTAAGATCAAAATAGAAATTTACATTTCCATTAGTACACTGTCAAACCCACCACATTGTCACATTGTAAATGTCACACTATCACCCCCCTCCACTATCATCTGTTCCCGTCGGCCACCAGAGTGCTCCCACGGATTGCTGATGGTTGACTGATCACACTGACATATTACACTGTCATCATCTTTCCATTACAATGCCAACACATTCTCTTACACCACACTGCCATTATACTCCTATTTTGATCTTAAAAGACATAGGACTCTTATTTTGGTATTTTCATACTTTTTTTACTCATATCCAAGGAGATTTCTTAATTAAAAAAAGAGAAATTACCTAAAATAATCCCACCTTTCATTTATTTCTGAAAAACATATATTTTCCAAAAATTTCATTAAGCTTTAGTTTTTTAACGGCGACCCAAAACTCGTAGACATGCAAAAATGTAAAATTATTTCTCATGACAATGAAAAATAATATTTTTTTTAAAGAGCTGGAAAGATGCGCAAATTATATCGTACATCCGGCTATACGGGAAGAACCGTAGAGCCGGCAATTAATTAGGGCGAAAGGAGGAACTGCGGCAGGAACGGCCAAATCGATCGGCCATGAAGGAGACTGCGCGATGGGGCTGGTTGGATTCCCGATCGGCGATTTGACGATGAAGGTCCAATCTGCAATTAGACGATGAAGGAGGTTGTTTGAAAGTCCGATCGACGATTGGACGATGAAGGTCTGATCCATGATCTGAACGCTGCTTGGATATGCGAAGATCTGGTCAATTCCGCTTCTAGTTGCTTTGGTCAATTCCGCTTCCTAGAGATCTTTTCTTCCACTTAGCAGATTTCAACTCAGGAATGGACATATGAATGGTACGTTGTTTAAGAATGACTACTAGGTTATATGGGAATGACTACTACTGGGTTTTAGAATGAATATTATGTTATTCGTAAATGAATATTGAACAAATTTGTGAAAATGAATACGATGTTATTTCTGAATGAGTACTGCGTTATTTCAAATTGAGTACCACGTTTTTCAAATGAACCAATTATGAGTAGTACTTGTACCATATACACTCTAGGAAAGATATCTTTTGGATTAAGCTATGTGTACCCCAACATTTATATCCCAATTTGTACCCCGTAGGTTTGCACCAACATTTTATGTTGGTGTAAAATTAATTTTTGTAAACGCACCAACATTTGTGTCCGTGTAAATTTTTGTTAATACACCAACATTTGTGTCAGTATAAACCATCAAAATGTTTGTGCAAAACTGTGGTGTACAAGCGGGTTACATTTTTTTGGTGTAAGTGTAGCATGGTCCTGACCTTTTAATTTTCAACCGTTTTGTTCTACTGCCTGAGTTCTGTGAGAACAAGATTCAGAACTCCCTTCCAACCGTCAAGGCCACTGAGAGAGAGATGAATAACGAGGAATTGAGCCGTCGCCGTCGTGTGCTGGAATTTATCATGCAGTCTGCTCACGTAAACCTTTCAAAACTTCATCTCTTTACTTTTAATTGTATCGATCACTAACAGTTTCATCCTGATTGTTTGAATTTTTTTCTGAGTTTTTTCTCTCCTGAACTTATCGGTGAAAAAAGGATCTCCAAGTCTCTCCGATCGTCAAGTACTCCGCACTTTCTCTTTTCGCCGACCGATTCTACCCCACTCTCTACCGGTACAAACACTTGATTTTTTTCTGTTGGAAGTTTCTCATAATAATCTCTGATATTTTAAGTTTATTATTTTATTTACATATTATTATGAAAATTTCAATAGATATTATTCATGCAAAAAATGTTGCATCATTTCAATAACCTATATGCCTAGGCTAACCAATGATTCACCATTCACAAAGCACTTGAATTCATGGATCAGTAATAGTCACTTAAGGGATTAACATTTATTGCTTTTTTCTCAATTTGGAGTGAATTGAGAGAGGATTATATTGAGGAAGAGGCAAAACCCTTTCATTTTTTTCCTTTTTAGTGGGAGTCGATGATCTTAGCATCTGGATAAACAAAAGTAATTTAATAAAGGTTAGAATGTTAGGCCTACAGTAATAGGATGATAATTACCTAGGTTTAAGCCACAACATCGTTAAGATAATGATAAAGTGATGATGATCAGATTGATTTAATTCAGGTTTGCATGTAAGCTAAATGCCCCTTTATTCACTCCCATTACCCTTTTCTAATCCAATAATTACTTGGCTCAATGTAATCAAATTTGATCAAAGCTGACTTGTTACATTCCAAAGACCCAAACACCACCAAACTGTGGCAAGTACTGGTAACCACCTTCTTTAGTCCTATTTCACATATGACATAGTGGCTTGAGCATGGTAGTTGTCCTCATTCCACCAGTAAACATCACCCAAAACACTATCTGGTATCCACGTCATATTTGGCCTATTTACAACCCATGCCTTTGAGTTGTTTAGGTATGGAATGCTGATACTTCGTTTGATTTGTTTATTTTTATAATTCTATTTTTTCATTGATGGTAATTGCGATACTTTGTGTCCATTGTGATGGAGCTCAAAGAGTCATTTTTGAGAATGTTTTAGCTTTAGCTAAATAATGGACTAAATAAGAATGGCGCATTAACTTTTTTCCGTTTCTTATTTTTTATGACTTTTTGGGTACTAATTGCATTGATGCATGTATAATGGAAATGCTCTCTCTTTTTTACAAGGGTGAGGTTTGTGTACATCGTGACCTCAAGACCCCAACATAGTTGGGATTATATTGGGTTTTCGTTTGTTATTGATAATTGAAATAATTGAGGAAAACAATGGCGAGGATTACCTCGTATCATTTGGAATTCGGTGTTAGGAAGTGGACAATAACATCTCAGCAATCAATTAGGGGGAAATGTTTTCAAATCATAAATGGCTTAGGCCCATTTAAATTTGCAAATTTAATGATTTTGATACCTTAAAACAATATGTTTTTTGCTAATACCACAAGAGTTTCTTAGTGGTAGATACAAAAAATGAACAGTGAAGTAGTGTATGACTTGACATGTTAACTGCACTCACTTGTATGCCATGATTTTCAAATGGTAAACTGAGACTGTGATATAAAAGAAATCAAGTAGCCGTTGTCTATTGGTCTCTGTGTGCAAATATATGCCTGCAGATGTTTTCTTTTTCAATTTCAGTATTGTCGTATTATTAAAAGAGATTTAACTTTGTGGGACTCTACTGGGTTGTTGTTATAAGATATTTAACTTGCCATTCAGAATAGGACCAGACAAAGTAAACTGGCTTTTGGATCCCACCAGAGAAAGCAACCTTCAGTTATTTGCTCTTGCATCTGTATGGATCTCTAGCAAAGTAAGTCCCACCATTTCTGATATATGCATTTACTTCTTGACTGTCATCATTATGGTTTCCCTTGCATTTTCATTTTAAAGTAACCATGTAGATTTGTCCTATATTTTCAGATTCACTCATCCCGTCCTCTTTCTTTCAAGTCTTTGAAGTCATTAGCAGACAAGAGTATTACAGAGCAGCATTTCACAACAAGAGACTTTTTGGATGCAGTAAGAGCTACTGGTTTTTTTAAAATAAAGTTTCAAGGGTGTGCAGTGTACACAACTGTTTTTTTTAACTCTCCTGGTGGTGATAAGCTACTTCCCAGGAGCTGTCACTAATGCAGGTAATTGGCATTTTACCTAGGGTTTTGTGTCTTTTACTGTGTCTTTCTCATATTATTCTCTTCATGCATAGGGGAGGAAGCCAAGTCTTGATTTGTTTTCTTTACCACACCACTCATAAATGTTATATACTTAGTGCATACGTTTCTTTTGCTCAAGGTATTGAAATATGAGATTGGTGTGTCATACATCGCCTATGCATTCCTGGAGGATCTCATTATTCAATTGAAGTGAGTATTTGGTCAAAACTGTAACTGCTGACAATTATTCCCATTTGCTTGAAGTTCCTTTGCTGATAAATACTTCATCATCCCAAAATTAAGTTCTCGTCTGCTTTTTTGGTGCATCCTAAAATAAGTTTCCCATTGTTTAAGGAAATAAACGTGTGGTTTTTATCATATCTCTATCCTAAATGTTAACCACACAATCTTGCCTTTCTTAACTTTTGTGCAAAAAGCAAATCAAAGCATGAACTGGGACAAAGGGAGTAATATTTATGGCTATTTAACTATGTCCCAGTTATCAACTCTATTGCTTTGTCCTTGCTATTACTCCACTCCTTTTGTGTAATTCCAGGGATGTTGCACGGGTTGGTGAACATGTGAATTTTGAAGCTTGCTTGGATATCATGGACCTACTCTATGAAAAGGAGGACACTTCAATTCTTTTCAGTACTTCTAAATGTTTGGCAGCGTCAATATTGGCATGGTTTTTGTATTTGTCTTGTTTCAAAATAATCGGCCTTTTATTATATATTTTGTGCTTAATCTGTCATTGATTGTGCAGGTTGCTACATATGTGATTACAGTTCCTGTACAACGATGGGAGTTCCCAATTCTCCCTTGGGGTAAGTTTGCAACACTTCAATATAAAATCATTGATCCATTCTTGGAAGGGTTGTGGGGGAGGTAAGGAGCATGCATATGCTCTTTTGATTTCATTAGTTTATGCACATAACTATTGTACAGTGTGTCAGACAATCATAGAAGAATCTTTAGATGCTTATCTACCTCAACTAGATTAGTTAATTTTTCTTAATAGTTGACTATTATTCTTAATAATTGACTTATAGCTGGGGTGAGTTGATCAAACAAGAAATGAGGTTGTTTCAATTCACCGAGGACACAACCATATATAGGAACCTTTGGAGGTTGATTAAGGGTAGTTTGTTAATTGTTAGTAGCAGGTCTCTTGTGTTCGGTAGTTTTTTTTTTTGGGTTTATTAGTTTTTAGGTGTGCTGTTCTGGCATTCATTTTTATTTTTATCTTTTACATAGTGCTTGTGCTAGGGATCTTTTTCGAAACATCATCTCCACCGAGTAAGATCTGCATACATCTACCCTCCCGAAACCCCATTTGTGGGATTCCACTAGGTTGTTGACTATTGGAAAATATTGCGGGAACGCTGAAAAATATAGAACACCCTTGATATAGTAATTATGTGATACCTAGGAAAACACTTTTCGTTTTCTTATTTGATTGAGATTGTTAACTGTGATCTAAAACTAGCTATCTGAGAGTGGTTTTATGTCACATTGATAGCCAGTCCCAAACCGAATAAAGAAGAAAGTTGTGGTAGTTTGACTCTCCTTGTAAAAAAAAGACACTGCTAGGACCATGAATAAAAAATAAAATTCCATTGAGACTTTTCCTACTCAATGATGTGTTACACTTCTTAGACCCTCGTAGCATAGGATCAACAATGCACCACATCTCTGGCCCAGGTGGTCCCAAATGAGCTAGGGCGTTCTGATCTAGACATTGTAAAGGTAAGGTCATAAGGATGCCGAATTACATCACAAATGAACTTAACTGAAGTTAAGGCTAAAACTTTTGCATTGTTAGCTTATAAGCTTTGGTATACAACTATACATGGAAAGACAAGATCAGGGATAGAGTTGGGATACTCCTTGATAATCGACTTAGTTGAGATGCACTTGAAGATTGGTAGCATTTTTAAACGTTATTTGTGGTTAAACGGTTGTTAATATACTCTATATGTACCAAAGCACCACAAATGGGGTTAGAAGGATAGGTTTAAAGTAGTTTTGCGATTACTCAAACATGTTAAGCGTATACCATAAAGGAAGAAAGAATTCATTGGTGGGGACTTCAATGGATCAATGAACATATAGGCATAAGCCACAAGGATTTGATACTTTACATGGGGATTTGTGTAGGAAATGGAAGAAGAACAATGACTACCAATTTGGTCACATTTGTAATAAAATTCCAGAATGACCGTTTTTGTTTTTGAAAAATGACTTGATTCCAAAATTCAGCAAAGGGCCCTAAAAAATCACGAAAAGAATTAAAATGACATGTTGTGGGACTATTAGCTGTGAAGTATTACAATATAAGGAATGATGTAAATGCAATGTAAATTTGTTGACTTGGGATTATCACTTGGTTATATGTAGGAGGGATGCAAATTGGTTCTACTTGCCTAAGTTGCACTGAGATGGGAGTGGGAACATATACGACATTAGGCTGAAAATAACATTTTCAAAGAAGTTTAAAATACAAATATCATAATGATATTATAAGGAACAAATTCAACAACAACAATAACACCCCAGTGCCTCAACGGCTCCTGCCCATTGTAGGGTAAGGGGGGTCGGATGTACATAGTCTGACCCTTATGTTGACCCTTATGTTTAAAACATAGAGCACTGTTTCCAAATGACCCATGATGAGCGTCGAAAGTTGCATTGACTAACTACTACTTCACAATTGCAAGAAGCACAGACAGTTTAAAGAGCCAATTTGCTTTATTCCATCATACCCCAAAGTCAAAAAATATTGAATCTTTGGCTCCACATGGAAATGGAAATGATTACAAGAAACAAATAATTAGAATATTTTAGTTTGGGAAGACCTTGATGATGAAGGCTTTGACAATGTGAGAGGAAAAAGGCAGCGAGTACAATAGAATATTTTAGTTGATTTTTTTGTTTTTCTATTGCATTTTGTAATGTTATGCACCTATGCTCATCTTATCTATTTTTGTTTACTTAGGTTTTGACTTTTGGTACACCGAACCGAAAACCTTGTACACCGTACGAACACCGTACGCTTCGTACCGAAATTAACCTACCCCCTTTGTACCGAATTCGTCACCTCTAGCGAATTTCGTACCCGTACCGAAACATACTGCAATTTAGGTGAGCATGGATTGATCAGGTCTTTTTAGGCTGGTTAGTGGTTAGGCAGCAATGCGGTACCTTAGGGCTATCCCCTTTGTTACCAGTTGAGTCACCATGATTTACATTTTCTCACAAGCCTGTCGGGTAGGAGGTGAGTGGCGCCCGGGATGAGCGATACAAGAAAATGAAGTGTTTCTCATTTGATATAGTATCTTTTTAAAAGCAACTATCCCCCCTGTCCCATAAATCCCATTTCCATTTTTCCACTGGTTCCAAAATAGATGTCATATCCCACCCATTAGTAGGTACTGAACTAGGGTCAACTAGGTACTCATTGGTCCTTGTTTTGTTTTTTTCTCTCCTAATGAATAACTCATCAATAATTGTTGTGGGGGCAGTTGTGTTTGTAACCTCATGCGAAGAGCAGCAGATTGTGAACACGGTTGGAATGGTTCTGAGGCATATCTTCGATCCGGTCCCACTCCCTCCTTTGATTTGAAGTGGTCTTTATCCTCACATATCTTTTTGGTCAACAAACACTGCCATTGATGATGGACGGCCGGGATTGATGATCAGGTACGTTCACGTCCCAATGTCTTTGAAAATACTACTACTACTACTACTGTACGGACTAGTAATTGGAAGCTGGGGATTTATAATACGGAGTAATATGTTTTGTTGCAATTTGGGACCATATGGATGACCCTAGGCCTCCATTTAGGTGCTTACTTGTTTTTTGTTCCTTAGCAGTTTGTTTGGATTATGTGAAAAAGGGAGGAATGAAATTTAAGAAGAGAAAAACATACAAAAACGATGCATTCTCCGTCGTTTGTTTTGGAGAGAGGCGAATTTTTACGTGGTCTTAAAGTCCATATTCATTTTAAGGACTTTAGTGCATTGTTATCATAAAAGAATTGAACTTTTTACAAAAAAGAAGAAAATCATGTCCATGAAAACTATGAGAATGTCCATATTTCACATGTAGATCTTAGGAGCAATTAGGAGAGAAAATGGGAGTAGAGAGAAAAGTAATCATGGGTCGCACATTAAAAAAATCTCTCCAAAATTGGTGAGAAAATTCTATGAGTGATTTGACTTCTCTTCCACCACTTGTTTTCTTTTCCTTGAGTGTTTTCATACATTTTCTTTTCATTTTCTATCAATCTAAAGAACAACCCAACAATTCGTTTCTCTTTCTTTTCCTTCCAAGTTTTGGCCTTTCATTTTCACCTCTCTTATTCTCTCCCCATCCAAATACAGGGTAACAGTATCGTGTACTTCATGTGGTTTTTTCCCTTCATCATGATTTTCCATCACCCAATTTTTTATTTTATAAGGCATTTTTGTGCAGTTAAAGTAGACATGAGAAGAGGGGATAGCATGTATATACTTTTGTTTCAAAATTATGTCTACTATTGATCCGACACATTGAAATATGTCTACTATTGATAATTTACTCGTCTTAGAAATGTTGAGAAGTTTTTTTTTAATAATTATGCACGGAGAATTTTAAAATTATATACGAGTACTTTGCTTTTGGATTTGGTGTATTTTTTGTAAAGCATACTCGTGTAATTATGATTATAAAATGAGTAAAATATCAAATACTCCGTAATTTGTTAAGACTTTTCCTCGATCTGATTGGAATAAATTTTGATTTGGCTTGACTTGGTTCAAGTTGTATTTAATGTTATTTCTGATCTAGTCGGATTACAATATGAATAAGTAATACTGGAGTAAGTAATAAAAATAAGTTGAAGAAAACAAGTTCTTAAACGTGTCCATGTCAATCATATATTTATACTCTTTTTCTTAGATATTTTAAATAAATTATCGTAATTTCGTTATTGGATTTTAAAAAAATGATGTCTCTTGTATATAATTTGTTTTTTTGCTCTATATTCGCAAAATCAATTACTCCCTCCGATCATATATTATTGTCCTATTTCAACCGACGTGTAAATTCTATTTCTTTTAAATTAATTTGTTTTATAAATTGATATAAAAAAAATAGAATTATACATTTAAAAGTTACATCAAAAATTTTACAAAATAAGTAGTGACATATTTATTTTATCAAATCATTAATAAAAATGCATATGCAAAATTGTCAAAATCCTTAAATATTAAAGTGGACGATTTAGGGGAGGGAGTATTGGTACCGACCTCAAAATTTTTCAAAATATATCCACTTTAATAATTTATTACTCCTAAACAAAAGTACCGGCCTCAAAAATTTTCAAAATATATCCACTTTAATAATTTATTACTCCTAAACAAAAGCTGCTATTGCTTGTACGTGTTGCTTGTACTTGGTACTTTATCTGTGTTATACTGTGTTCCCTTCCACATTTTTGTGCAGGTGGAGCCGAGGGTCTCTTTTAAACAGCCTCCCTATTTCCGAGTAGGGGCAAGGTCTGCGTACACACACCCTCCCCAGACCGTACTGTTGTGAGATTCACCTGGGTTGTTGTTGTTGTTGTTGTTGTTGTTGTACTCCTAAACAAAAGTACCGACCTCAAAATTTTTCAAAATATATCCACTTTAATAATTTATTACTCCTAAACAAAACTTGTATCTTACACTTATTAGTGGAGTTATGTTTCATCACCTCTTTTTGTTCCAAAACAAAGTGGATATGACATTAGTGGAATCAGCGCAATCATATCCCTTGTTATTTAGTACGGTGCATTAAGTTGAACTTTTTAATATTCCAACTCGACATGATCGATTGTGTTGAATTGATGTTTTTACGTTTGGCATTATAGATGACTAACTCTTTGTGAATTTGTTTTCACAAATAGTGTAATAGAAACGGTTGCAGTGTCTGTAAACACTAGAGAAAATGCCAAATATGGTACTAAAACAATGCAAAATTCCAATAGTAGGACCAGTACTATCATAAACGTTTTTTAAAGACTATAATGACTAAAATAGCCCTGGCCGTTGGATTTGGAGAAACGCGCAAGCTACAATTTTAGAAAATCGAGAGATATTTACATGCGAAGAAATCTTGAGAAGCGAGCTAATCGATCAGGGCATTAAACAATCCAGGCTCTCCTTCTCTCGATGCAGATCAATAGGAGCGAAAACTAGAGAGGCAGAGCGAATCTAGGAAAGCGATAACAATGGCTTCAGTAAATCAATGTTCGATGAAGGTAACAATGGCGTTTAAGAAAGGTGAAAGCGAAAACAGCGATTTTGTGCCGAGGGAATCCGATGATATGCTTCTGACAATGCCTAATGGATTGGTAGGCTCTGAAATTTACAATTTAAAGTTGATCGACATGAACTGAACTTTATGAAATTGAAGTTTATGAAATTGATTGAAGGCATGCATTTTGTTATAGTTGATTGAATTCGATAGTTATGAGCTTTCAATTGTGCATGTCTACAATGTCGTCCATTAATGTCTACTTGGTCTAATTACTGTCTACTCGGTTTTATTAATGTCTAATTATTACAGTTTTTTCATTAAGATATAAGTTTTGAAGGCTTAAGAGAATCATAAATCTAGCAGATGTTATTGTGCTTTGAACAATTCAATTATGGTTGTGTGTAATAAGAATAATGTCTACCTGGTTCATTACAAATTATGAGAGTATGTGTTTAGTTGGCGTATTAATGCCTGTTAGGCATTTGAATGAATATAATGATATTTGTGGATATAGAAGTATGTATTAAGGGATTATGACTAACATAAAGCCCAAGGGATGCTAATGGGATCTGTACACTTAAATTGTGGATGTCTATGATGTGAACAAAGTCTATTAATGTGTGCATAGTTTACATGGTTTTATTGTGATAATGAGACTATGTCTTTGGTTAGTGAATGAATGTCATGTTAAGCATTTAAATGAATATAATGACATTTTTTATTGAGACATAAAATTTTGAGGGCTTATGAGAAGCATAAAGTCCAGGGGATGTTACTGTGCATTGAAATAATGATAATGCCTACTAATGTCTACATGGTTTATTTGAAATGAAGGGACTATGTTCAGTTGGTGTATTAATGCCCTCCAAGGCATTTGAATGAAAAAGTAGAATACTTTCACATGCAATTTGTGTTGTGTTTTGGAAACGAAGTGAACAGAATTTTGTTTAAAGTGACAAGTCTATAAACGCCTATGTAAGCCAAACCTACTGATACAAGAACTGAAGCTAAAATAAATTCATGCTACAATGTTGGTAATGAGGTTAAGAAGTTGAAAGAAGTGCTTTCAAAAGAAGAACTAAGTGAATTTTGAGAGACTGCTTTTGGATATTGGTTAGACATTAGAGAATTGAAATGTGTTAATGGCCAACTCCTCATTCTTCTCATACTCAACCATGTGGAGCCGATGGATATGCAGAATGCGTGCCTCTAAAGAAATTTCATTTTCCATTGGTGACAGACTGATTAAATTCGCAAAGAAAGACTTCTAGGAGGTGAGTGGTTTTAGGTTTGGGACCAGTAGTGAAAAAATAGAGAATTATACAGAACGAAGTGACACAAGTAAAAGATACTTCAATGGTCAAATCAATGTGACAAAAGAAGATGTGAAGATTGAATTTGAGAGAGTCAAGAAAAATAAAAATAGAGAAGCATTAAATGCAGTGAAGTTAGGGCTCCTATACATGTTAGAGACCTGTATAATTGGTAACCAGCCAAGTATTAAACTTCCTGGACTGTATCTCCACTTGGTCGATGATTTATCCAAGTTTAATAGGTATTCATGGGGAGAAGATGTGTGGAAATATCTGGTAGTTGGAAATGTTGTTGTATTATGAATACAACAAAATGTCCTAAATGATGTTCCCACTGAACAGGCAGTAAAGGATTTGGATCCAGCCATTTGGGACATTAGTCCTTACGCTGAACAACCAAATATCCTAGAGGGTAACATCAGTTATTTGATTCCCACTGAACCACAAAATGTCCTCGAGGATATTTACACTGAAAAACCACATGTCCTAAATAATGTTCCCACTGAACAACTACAAGTCCTCACTGATATTCCCACTGAACCACCACCACAAATCGTCAATGATATTCCAAATGAACCACCACCAATGCTCAATGTTGCTACCATTAAACCACACCAAGTCCTCACTGATATTCCCACTGAACCACCCCAATTACTCAATGATATTCCCACTAAACCACAACAAGTCCTTAATGATGATCGCAATGAACCACAACAAATACTTGAGGACATTCAGGATGAACTAACACAAGACCCTGATGGTATAGATGCTGAAGAACAAGGCAGTAAGGATATTGCCATTGACCAACCAAAAGACACTACAAGGTAGAAGGGAATTGTGAAATGCCCAGATAAGTTTACTCATTCAGACAAAAAACTAAAGACAAGGAAGGCAAAGAGCAAACAAGGACCACATACATGTAAATAGAAAGCCACAGATGGTGGTGATGCAACTTCGCAACCCACCAATGTGGAGGCTCAAGCTGGCATGGGAGAAACTTATCCCAAAGGGCAGCAATTAGCATTAACTACTAAGAATGTGGATTTGTTTTTAGCACAAGGTCTCCTAAGCAAGCAGAAAAAAGTGAATGGCACAAAGTACACAAGCCCTGAAAATGCTTTAAAACCAGAAGAATTTCGGCCACTTTGAGGGCATGACGAAACAATGACAAAAACGTGGTACTATGGATTCTTCTACACTCACGAATGGATGGATGATGTGGTAAGTATGAACATAGGCATTCTATTAAACGATTATACGTATATGGTTATGGATTTTAAATATACTAATGACTTACAATGCTTTATCTACTATAGCATGTAACTGTTGCCTTCAAATACCTGGTCATGAAAGCACAAGAATATGGCTTGACCCAGCCATTTGCAGTAATAGACAGCCTATTTGTCAGTCTATTGAAGAAAGAATATGACAACTACTTGGGAAAAAGGAAAACCTTTGATGAAGCAGCCTTGAATAGTTTAGTACTGAAACCAATCCTAGGGGCTGTGCCAGAATTGGAAGGACGCTGGGCACAATGCGATTACGTTTACATGCCAATAAACACTGGAAACCATTGGATACTGGCTGTGCTTGACATATCAGAGAAATGCATCAGGCTGTATGATTCTAACCACAAGGGGAAGACCATTTGCCACACAAAACCATACCTTCCATGTCTACAGACCTTACTGCCAAAGGTGATGGACAAAGTGGAAGTGTACAAGGAGCGAAAAATGCCTGAGATGGGAGATGATGTGCTAGGCATTGTGAACGTAAATGATTGCCCACAACAACAGGACGCGTAAGTTCATAGATGTTTTAAATGTCCTTTCTAGGTACCTAATAACATGTAATATATTTAAAGCACCATAATGTCCAATGTACTTAATAATATGCAGGGTGAGCTGTGGCGTATTTATTGTAAGGATGGCTGAGCATCTCATGATGGGGATGGGAGTGGATGAAGTGGATATTGCAGGCATTGAGAGTTTCAGGAAAAAAATTGCAACAGAAGTGTTGTTATATGCAAACAGGAGTGCACAGGGGGCTGAGCATTAGCATGGAAAATGTGACCATGTTTAAAAAACTTTTATGTTTACTTTTAGTATGTTGTTGTAGTAATTGCACTATGGGTTGTAAGTGCACTATCAATATTTTTCATATTATTAGTACTTTTTAGACAGAAGCTTGTAATCGCAATATGGTTTGTGATTGCAGTAATGACATTACATTTTTTTGGATAAAATTGTGCAATAGTATTTGATGAATATTTTTTTAAAAGGGGAGTAAACAAGTAACCTTTAAACACATGAGAATAACTTCTATCAATGACAGAATCACTTCTTCCAACAAATAACTTTTACTAAGAAATGACTCACCCAAACCATTCAATGTCAAAGAAGCTGGCATTGTAATCCGGGCACGAGCAAACGACATCTTTTAAAATATGGAATCTCTTCAAATCTCTCTTTGGCTGATACTAATGACATACTTTTATTAGAGAATGGCAATCCCTACAGACCCCTCATGTTCTTGACTATGATGAGGACAGTACTAAAACCCGGGCTAAGATTGTAATGCCCCGAAACATACCCTAGAATTATTATTAAATAATTATTCGATTAAACAAATTTGTTTTGATTATTATTGGGCTTTGGGCCGATATGAAATATTTTTTTTTAATATCCATTATCAAAATCTGGATAAGTCTAATCGAGATAAATCCAATATGTGGACTATTTGTGTGGTCTTGATTGGGAACCTGAGTACAGACCCAAATCAAGAATAAATAAATTAATTAATTATGATGTGAACTTTGTAATGATTTATTGAAATAAATCATGAGAATAATTGATATGAATTAAATGAGAGAACCTTTTA